CCCCAAAACCCCAAAACCCCAAAACCCCAAAACCCCTAGGAATTAAATGGTTATTGAATCTGCGTATATTTTGATTGAATTAGCAATATTAAGATTGCATGTCTGAGCTTATTTGAGCAAACTGCCCTCCTGCTCTCATGAGCTCATCGTAACTTCCTTCCTCGCTTAGGACTCCTTGGTCGAGTACTATCAGTCTGTCTCACTTCCTAATCGTAGTGAGTCTGTGAGCAATGACGATAGATGTTGTTTCTTTCATTACATTGTCCAAAGCATCTTGCACCTTTTTCTGGGACTCTTCGTCTAAGGCTGAAGTAGCTTCGTCGAGCATCAAGAGTTGAGGCTGAGTGATGATAGCTCTGGCAACAGCGATACGTTGTTTTTGGCCACCTGAGAATTTGCTACCTTTGACTCCACACAAAGTATTGTACCCTGAAGGGAGGTCATCTCAAGTATCATCAGTATAATCACAACCTCTAAGAGGTTGCATTGCACTATTTGGAAATTTAGATTCTTCTTTGCTTCCCTGTGTTAATTCATCATCATGATCTATTTCTTGAATGAAATCATGAGCATTAGCAACAATAGCAGCATCCTTTATCTCCTTGCTAGTTGCATGCTCTTTAGCGTAGCTAATGTTCTCTCTAACTGAATAATTAAACAGCACTGGCTCTTGTTGCACTAACCCAAACTGTGCTCTCAAACTTCTGATATTGTATTCCTTAATGTCATGTCCATCAATCAGAATTTGACCCTTCTGAGGATCGTAGAACCTGTAGAGTAGTTGGATAATGGTGGACTTGCCTCCTCCTGATTGGCCCACAAGTCCCACACACTCGTTAGGAGAGATCGTCATGTTGAGTCCCTTTAAGATCCAGTTGTCAGTTCTGGTTGGATATCTGAACCAGACATCTTTGAACTCAATGCAGCCTTTGATGTTTTGCTTTGTGGCAATGATTTCATCCGTGTTGAGTTGGAATGGGTCGATTAGACTGGGCTCATCAATGATATTATAGATCTTAGTAGCAGCTTCAACACCTTTACCAGCTGCTGGAGCTTGCTGCTGAGCTTGGCCAGCTCCAATGGCTGCAAACATCATGATGAAAATAGCAGTAAATAAGTCTTGAGGGTTTACTTCATATCTTTCTACAAACTTAGCCCCAGACCAGAACATGATAGTATACATTCCGAATTGCATGAATTGGGCAAATCCAAAAAGGAGTCCTGAGATATAGGACTTACATATCTCTCTATTCAATTTTGATGCAAGAATCTTCTGATATTTATCAATAAGTATAGATTCATTAGCGAATGACGCAACGGTTGTGTAATTTACAATAGTATCCGAAACTGTTGAGTTTACTTTAACTTCTCCTTTTTGAGTTACAACCATGTTGGAAGCTTTAACTTTCGTGTTAATAGCTGCTGAAAGCATCATGATTGGAGCTACTCCAATGGCTACCAGAGAGATTCTCCATTCGAAGAAGAATGCTAGAGCAACACCGACCAACAGGCCTGTAAATGATTGGAACATTACAGCTACAGACTCAGTGGAAGCTCCATTTAGAGTGTTTACTTCAGTTGACAGGATAGTATTCAGCTGCCCAGGAGTGTTCTCTTGTGAATCAAACCATCCAACATGCTTCCTTAGTATCGCAGTATATGCTTCCTCTCTGATATTTCTGGACATTGTCTCTGCAAGGCTTCCGAAAAGGAATTTTTCAGTAGAGATTACAATGAATCCAATCAATCCTAAACTTAACATAAAACCTCAGTATTTCAGAAGTTGGGATCCCATATTATCGAAGTTCATCATAATGAAGAGGATTCTGGCCCAGAAGACAGCAAATGTAGGGAACAAAGATCCTGAAATAATACAAGCAATGACTCCAATGAATACAAAAATAACCGGTTTGTTATGAACACAGAGTCTTTTGAAGAATCCTTTCTTCTTCCTTAAAGCTCTTAACTCTTCAATTTCTAGGTCAACTATCTGCTTCTCTCTGTCAGCTTCGATAGTCATTTCTTTCTCAAGTTGTGTTTGAGCTTCTTGTTCACTCTTTGATTTTGTAAGAGGGACGTCAATATCTTCAATCGAGTCTTCTTCAGTATCTTGATATTCGTTTATTTGGGCATTAAAGCCAACATGTTGCTGAGTATTAACCAATTTAGCATAAACTCCTTCAGGATATTGTTCAAGTAGTGATTCATGATTTCCAATTTCTTTGATTTGACCTTTGTCGATGACGATGATCCTGTCTGCTTTCTTGATCGTTGACAGTCTATGAGCAATCACTACAGTGGTAATGCGCTTTTCTCTATTGATATTTTCAATAGCCTTCTGCACTTCAGTCTCATTCTTCCTGTCAAGTGCACTGGTAGCTTCATCCAGGATTAGCAAGTCTGGCTGCTTCAGAAAAGCTCTTGCAAGTGCAATCCTCTGCTTCTCACCGCCTGAGAGTTGGCCTCCTGAGGCTCCAGCGTTGGTCTTGATGCCTTCAGACAGCTTGCTGATGAAGCTCATGGCATTGGCTTGCTCGAGAGCATGAATGATCTCTTCATCGGTGGCGTCTGGCTTTGCATTAAGCATGTTGTCTTTGATACTTTCGTTGAACAGAACAGGTTCTTGGCCCACATATCCAACTTTGTGTCTGAACTGCCTCAAGTTAAGCTGCTTGAGGTCTTGGCCATTGACAGTCACCATTCCAGAGTCAGGGTCGTAGAAGCGTTCGAGGAGCTTGACAATGGTGGATTTTCCAGAGCCAGAGGGCCCAACAAAGGCAGTGGTTTTGCCCTTTTCGATAGTGCAGGTTATATTGTCAAGAGCTTTTTCTTCTCTGGTAGTATATTTAAAAGATACATTCTGGAAGACAATATCAGAATGAATTCTTGGGACCTTAATAGCACTTAGGTCATCAATAAGGATATTTGGTCTTCTATGGATCACTTGGAGAGCATTATAAGCTGCTATTCTTCCCTCAGTCACTGTCTTCATGTTCGGAGCTGAAGCCCCAAGGGAGAAGATACCGATGAGAATTCCGAAGAAAATAGAGATGATATCACCAGAAGTGTAATTCCTCCCTCTGTTGTGGTTGTAGATACCTGCTTTAACAAATTGACCACCTACAAAGAGCCCATAAGCGTAAGAGGCGAAGAGACAGAAGTTTAGTATACCAAAAGAGAAACCTATGATTGCTTTTCCAACCTGTCCTTGCTTCTTAGCCTCATCTAAATGTCTGACATAGTTTTCAATCTCTCTTTTCTCTTGACCAAAGGCAGATACTACTTTGATACTGTTAAGAGCCTGCTCTGCAAAGGAGGAACTTTTAGCATAAGACAATGCTCATTTCATGTATCCTTTCTTGATGCCAACTCCAAGAAAGGTAATACCTCAGAACATAAGAGGGAAGATACCAAGAGCTGCTAAAGAATATTTCCATCCAATAATGAAAGCAACAATGAATCCTCCAATAGCTTGAGCCATACTGTTGAAGATCATTACTAATTTTTCACCGCAACCTGCTTGGATCTTAGCACATTCATCACTGATCTTTGTGGGGAGCTCCAGGGGATCCTTCTCGTCATACCAGGCAGACTCTTGTTGGAGGACTGCTCTAAGGTATCTGTATCTGAACTGGTATCCAACCTTTTCACTGATGATACTCCAAAACGAGAAGAAGATAAATGATAAAACCCACAAGACAGCTCCCAGCAGCAAATAGATCTTTGATAACTTCGTAATTTGTCCTATAGTAATGGTTATAATGCAGGCAGCAGAAGTCTCTTACCTAATGTTTCCTGGCCTTCATTTGCAGGATCGAATGAGTCGGTCAGCTTTCCAAAGAAGAAGACGAAAACTGGCATTGAAAGTCCACCAATCGTTCCTGTGATTGTACCTACGATGAGCAGACACCTATCTGAGCCATGGAGAAACTGAAATAGTTCAGAATACTTTCATAGCTGTGGCTTTGGAGGCAATTGAGGAGCCTCGTTTTTCTTATCTTCCATAAAATTATTATATTACTGACTAACTTCGGAAGCTTATAACCACTAATTTATCCGAATGTTGCATCACGACTTATAGTTATTTAATGAGTTGCGTAATTTCAATTTTCAAAGAAAAGAATGGGGTTTTGGGGTTTTGGGGTTTTGGGGTTTTGGGG